AAAAAAAAAAGGCTGAAAAACCAATTCTCACCCAAGAATTGGGTGGAAAATGAATTCTATGGAAAATTTAGCCTACCAAACATGCTAAAAGTGGGAAATGGAAAACGAATTCCAACTTCCGTAGAAAATTTCGTGCTATCAAACCGTTAACGATGAATCGACAAATGAAATAGGAAAATTGTGGAGGATAATAGGAAACGATGAAAATTTTAAACTATCAGCGACAAATTTCAGCACCCTCTACGATATAGAGCTTTCAAGGACAAACATATTGCAATTTCAGCAAGAATGGCACAACTGCATTAAGAATTCCTATATGACAAATTAAATCACACTAATTACTGCATCTTTGATATACAGGACACTAGAAGATAAATATTGAGATAGAAAAATAAGCCAGCTAGTGTTGTCCTGCATTGCGTACCAAGCATGATTTTAAGTTCACTGTACCACTGGGTGATTATAAAGGGTCCCAATGGCATAAGGGACGACCAACCCATGATGCTAAGAGTGGATATGACGGTACAAAAACTTGTTTTGGTGCATGTAGCGATGCAACTGCAATGTGTCCATGACCAGCATAGCAATAGCAAATTGCACTGCCTGAATAGGAAGAGAAGGCTGAACTGTAACCCCGGAAGAACTTGCATTTGATGTTACCCACAATAAGAGCAAAAGTTCAGTACTAAACCTTTCTAGGAAAAACAAAGAATGATATAAATTATTGGATTCTGCTATACCCCAAAGAATATTATGAATAAAACTTCTCGCCATAGTCTTTGATTGTCGGTATCTGTTACTGTACTACACAAATTAGAATGTTATGTCCCCAGAGAGGACAAAACAGTAAAAGGCAAAGAAAAGAAAATTAACACTCCCTGTACTTCCTAGATTGGAGGCATCCCCAAATAACACAGAGGAAGGAGAAATGAACTTAAATATAAATAATAAACAAGCTAAAGGACTCAAAAATTCTCGAGACAATCCATTTATTCCATTTAGGGAGCAAACCAGCTATCAATGCAGGCAATGGCAAAACAAATCCGAAACATTTGTCAGTTAACCTTTTGATCGGTCATATGTAATCAGAAATTGTAAGTTTATTGGGCCTCTTGTTGTGGTTCTCCTAACTTGTTGGGCCGGTTTATTACCCATTCTTTTAGTTGCTTAAGTGGTACTCACTTATTGGTGACTTTAAGTTAACTCGGATTGTGTGTTTTATTGGAACCATTCTTGACCCTTGAATTTTAATCCATGGCTGGGCTTTATTCTTGGTTAGATATTTTCTTGATAAAACATNCTACTTCTCAAGCAAGCAATGACTTGCCCAAACTTTATATTGAATATATTGAAAATGTTTGAAACCTTGTCGGCTTATATAATTGTGGCATGGTCGGCTTATATGATTGATTATTGTTTAGGATCAATTGTTAAGTACACGTAGTAACTATTTTGTTCTTTGTATTTGTTTATTGTTTTACTACCAAGGTTTAAGTTAGTAATATGTTGCATAATACACTGTTGAAATTTACGATTACGTTTTGAGGGCCTTATTTATGGATCTCGCCTTGGGCCCCGAAAATCACAGGACCGGCCCTGGCTAAAAGGATAATTTGTGCAACACCACTAACATTTACTTGTTTTGCATAATATTCTTCTGATATTTCATTTTGGAGCAAAATTCTATAAAAGTTAAAATTTGCGGAATTAAACAATTTCGTTCCGTAGAATGATTCAAGAAGGGCAATATNNNNTAGAATGATTCAAGAAGGGCAATATGCAATCAAGAATATAAAAAAGGTGCCAGGATTTAGCTATATCTAGGTCAATGGTGATCAAAGTCATCCACGTTTTATGAAGTTTGAGGAGATTAGGTTTATGATTAGGGAATTCGGTTAAGCCTGAAACTAATTGTGTGTTGCACCATACAGGACATGAGGAGAAGGAGAATGCATTATGTTAATCAACATTATCAGCACGATAAACTTTAGATGTTACAAACTCCCATCATCAATCATCATAGTTAAACACGTGACCCTGAACAATCATGCTAAATGTATATCTTATTTGACATTATTTTTTATATTGTGCCACATGTCAGCATTATCGATCATCATAGTTAAACACGTGACCTTGAACAATCATGCTAAATGTACATATTACTTGACATTGTGCCACGTGTGACACATGATTAGACGATTTTAAAAAAAATACACACTTTCCCGCCAAACGCTTTTTAAATTTACATACAAAAGTGCACACTATAGAATGTACACTTAGCATAATTTGACCATGAATATACAAAAATAGATTACCACAGCACAGCACATAGATAATGAACTTGAGTCCGTTTGGTTGCAAATGTGAAATTTGGGTGGAAAGAAAATGAATTACAGTGAATTGAATTGTCTAGAATTNAAAGAAAATGTTTTACAGGGAATTGATTTTCCTAGAAAATGTTTTACTGGGAATTGTAATTAATTGTGTTTGATTGGTATAATTTTTCATGGAAAATGTTGAAAGTTTGGTATCCATTTGGCTTCGTTTTTCATGAAAATTTTCCATTAAAGTGATAATTTTTTTTACCATTAGGTCTAGAATTTGTTCCAATTGTAAAAAAAAATTATTATACCAAATACCATTCGTTTTGTTTTTCATGTAAATTGTCAATTAAAGGGATATAATTTGTTACAGTTGGGAATAAAATTCATTCCAATTGCAAAAAAAAAAAATGCTGAAAAACCAAATTTTCACCCAAGAATTGGGTGGAAAATGAATTCTATGGAAAATTTAACCTACCAAACATGCTAAAAGTGGGAAATGGAAAACGAATTCCAACTTCCGTAGAAAATTTCGTGCTATCAAACCGTTAACGATGAATCGACAAATGAAATAGGAAAATAGTGGAGGATAATAGGAAACGATGAAAATTTTAAAATATTAGTGACAAATTTCAACACCCTCTACGATATAGAGCTTTCAAGGACAAACATATTGCAATTTCAGCAAGAATGGCACAACTGCATTAAGAATCCCTATATGACAAATTAAATCACACTAATTACTGCATCTTTGATATACAGGACACTAGAAGATAATATTAAGATAGAAAAATAAGCCAGCTAGTGTTGTCCTGCATTGCGTACCAAGCATGATTTTAAGTTCACTGTACCACTGGGTGATTATAAAGGGTCCCAATGGCATAAGGGACGACCAACCTATGATGCTAAGAGTGGATATGACGGTACAAAAACTTGTTTTGGTGCATGTAGCGATGCACAAAGTACTACAATGTGTCCATGACCAGCATAGCAATAGCAATAGCAAATTGCACTGCCTGAATAGGAAGAGAAGGCTGAACTGTAACCCCGGAAGAACTTGCATTTGATGTTACCTACAATAAGAGCAAAAGTTCAGTACTAAACCTTTCTAGGAAAAACAAAGAACGATATAAATTATTGGATTCTGCTATACCCCAAAGAATATTATGAATAAAAACTTCTCGCCATAGTCTTTGACTGTCGGTATCTGTTACTGTACTACACAAATTAGAATGTTACGTCCCCAGAGAGGACAAAACAGTAAAAGACAAAGAAAAGAAAATTAACACTCCCTTTACTTCCTAGATTGGAGGCATCCCCAAATAACACAGAAGAAGGAGAAATGAACTTAAATATAAATAATAAACAAGCTAAAGGACTCAAAAGTTCTCGAGACAATCCATTTATTCCATTTAGGGAGCAAACCAGCTATCAATGCAGGCAATGGCAAAACAAATCCGAAACATTTGTAAGTTAACCTTTTGATTGGTCATATGTAATCAGAAATTATAACAAGCATATTTACAAATCAATGATTTAGATCTTAAGGTGTAAGATATGAAGGAAGAAAAATATAAAACATTTACTGAATTCAAAACAATAAGACTAAATATTGCNATTCTATTATTTAATTTATTAGAATATTAATTCAATTGAATAATAGATATTGCCATACATATGCATTGATTATATATATTCAAAGTGTTTATGTCCAAAGTTGATTGGACCTAGGGCATAACACTTACAATGAGTTGCTGGAATTCTGATGTTGTGTTTAGAGTCTAATATTATGAGCATGTTTACTGTGTATTGATGTTTACATTAGTCAGTGAATTCCCAACAGAAATTATAACAAGCATATTTACAAATCAATGATTTAGATCTTAAGGTGTAAGATATGAAGGAAGAAAAATATAAAACATTTACTGAATTCAAAACAATAAGACTAAATATTGCAAAAACGCGGACCCATTTTGGTTATTTTCTAGAAGAATAGAAAGGAAAATAATTAGTTCAAAGTATATATTCGTTGGAAGGGATGATGAGGGATTCAGACTCCTGCTTACTTGTCACTATCATACAGGTTAAGTTCCCAGTGAAAGCTGAAGGCTACATGAAAAGGATGAAATATTGGCGCGCACACATAACCTATTTGACATTAGAATTACACCACCTCTACTCAGCCTATTCATATCGGAATGAGATAAATGTAGAATAACACAGAAGCTAAAGACCTAGATATCAAAAGATAGTTCAACATGCACGGAAAGGACTTGGATTTAACTATTCTTTTGCCTTTTACTTTAAAACACCGTTTGCTTGCTACAAAGGGTGGCATACACCAATTTTTCGTGGAGAGGCTGGTTCTGCCATGTGCAGATGCAATGAATATGGAACGAACTAATCTTTTGTCTTTTACGAAGGAATATCATTTGCTCGACAACAACATATGTCAATATTTGATATGAATCTGGTAAAATCAATAAAATGAAACATGAAGCTCATCTTTGGGAAAATCTAAGTTTGACTAGTCCTCCACCGACTCCTCCACTGTCAAATGGAAGAGCAAACATAAGCAAATGATACACAAATCGCTCTAGTTACACACTCGGATAAATCCTTCATGATCGATGGAGATATTTGTTCACATAATCAGCTACTGTAAGCGCTTTGCCTCTCCATATGCTTCTTCTATCCTTACGGTGAAGAGCATTGAATGCTGCCTTTTAACCGAAATTGAACATCGTATTAGAAGCCACGATACCTCAAAAGTTAGCTATTGAAGTTGGAGAGCCCAAATCTATATAAATCACACATCGAAAGCCTATACTTCCGATAAGGGATTCGTCCAATAACTTGCAATGGGAACCATGACAATCCACCACGCTCCGTAATTCTGATGACCACGTCGGACTGGCTTTACTTTAGCCTATGACTAGTCCCGAACAAACACTGCTATACCGGAGTCACCATCCGCGCTGCTCAATTGCAATCGAAGACATGATACTGACTCTAATACCATTGATATAGATTTTGAGAGAGCCACACCTCAAAAGATAACTTTTGAGGAGTGGCTTTCCCAAGATCTACATCAAAGCCATGCATTAGTTAAATGGTACAGTGCAAGAGTTTTACACCAATCTCGACTTAATAAGAACTTCAGTATGTCCCTCCTTGCTGATGCTCAAACCAAAATAATCTTCTAAAACATGTACCTATGTAACAATAAATAGGAAGGACATGCCGATTACCTAGTCATCGTCATCATCATCATCATAGTCATCCCCAGGATGCTGAAGTCCATTCCTATCTCAAAGACTAGGTTGAGGGTCAGATTAGATCTTGCATTATTCATTAATCACTAACTCATATACGCACGCGTGTAGGTTTATATTTACTTATTTATTTGTGTTGGCATAAATACAAACTTATAGAAGGTACCAAAGAGCTCCAACGCCTCAAAAGAAAGAAAAGATATGCAAAAGAGTAAAACTGAAAAGAGATTGGCAAATCAAGTAAGACAATTTCCTAACTAGAAAACAGTAATTAAAATGCCAGTTCGTCCATCAATGACTCAAATTCTCTAGCCAGCCAGCAAGATCGTCTAAAGAAGATTCAAGAATACGTTGACAAAGAAAATAACTTCAGACAAATAAAGAGCTAATACATTCAGTCAAATTATTAAAACATAACTATACCATCTATTCCTCGTCAAAAAAACAAGAAGCAGTATATTCATTCTATTAAATGTTTTATTTAGATAACAGAGTGTCCGTTGATTTTCTTACTTTGCGCCCGCAGTACAGTAGTAGGGTTTTATTACTTTTCAAGTCAGGGTAGCATGCTAGATAATTGAGAGAGCACAAAATAAGAAAGAGTAGTCCTATGTTGTAAAGAAAAAAATTTCAAAGGAAAAGAACTTTTAAAGAATGGCTCCTTCTTTCATCAGCGAAAACACCTCAAGTCTTGGCCCACAACAACCACCTTGAGATCATTTAGAATCTAAACATTTCTCATGCAGGGTTATAAACGTGGTATTGTCACTGAATGCGTACAATTGACAAATAATAATATCCAACTCTGCCCAAGTTCATGGGATCGTCACCTATTCAAAAATTAGCTAAAATTCCACAATAATAACGTTGACAATCTAAGTTCTGTATCCATAAATTTGGGTTGGCTATGTGAATTCATTTTTTAATCTATCAAATCGAATCGAATCGAATCAAATCTTTTGCAATCACATTAGACAATGATAATTTTGATCTAACTCTACCTCTCCTAACATACATCATTCTTTTGAATGGTACTTCTATGAGTCACATCAGGAGTCCCAACTACCTAGCTATCCTTCGCTTAGTTTGTCCTATTGGTGCAAGTTTCACTTGTTGGTTTGTATTCACCTTTATTGTCCACTCTAGTATGGTCATATCAATTCATTTCTAGAGCAATGGAAAATCCACAATAAGGACTTCGAAGACAATTAGTTAATACACAAAAATAAATATAATTTATTTACCAAAAAGATTAAATGAGCAACAACAGCCTGAACAAGTTGTTGAAGGAGAATGCCTTTGATCACAACCGCCAATGGAACCAAATTTTTCTCACTTTCCTCCTTTCTTGTGTGTAGCCTGTAGTTATCTGGAAGCGGCAACAACTGATAAAACCCTGCGTACAACCAGTATACCACAATTGGGGCAAATGTCCCCATCAATTCATCACTCACATATCCATCCCACAAAACCATTCTTCAAACTTGATTTTTTTTTCTTTTCTCAAACCTAAATTTCTAATGTTCTGCTCAAGATCTATATCAGTGCATTCTGCATATTGCTACACCCTGACAAAAGAAATTCTACATACAAAATTATAATTTCAATTGATACATTTGAGCAAATAAAATACTACATACAGAGTGCACGTAAACATGTACCACATAATACACAGAAGTACAAAAACACAAATTGAATATAAACTTCTAGAAGAAAATTGAGTTAAGATAAACATATAATGTAACATCACATCATCTATAACCAGAATCTATTTTTGAAAAAATAATTAAATTATGCGGATTTAGACATGTACTAGAGCAGCCAATGGCATTTACGTACAATGAACTTCAGATGCACTCCAGAAAAAGCACAGGGAAAAAAGTGGCATGCCCCAGATGAGATATGATAAAACCCAGGTAATTCAATGAATTCTTTGAACTTAACGAAATATAAACTAGGATTCAACAGATACAACAATGCACTCATATTAATCCTAAATACAACAAACAATAATAAAAACCCGGGTAGAATTTTACAAATCTGTGACAAATTAAGCTTCAATGGATGTCATTAAGACTTGCGTGAAGATGACAGCACGGGTGGTGTAAGTAAATTCTGTGGCACAGATATGTGAGAAAATGTGCATATAAATTATATATGTGTATATGAATACGAGAGGTGAATGTGGATATTGTGATGGTGGTGACAGTTGTGAGATTCCTCGGGGAAATTTTGAATAAATGATCAAAGTAAGATTTGAATGAAAGAAAAGGCAAATAATTGTCGAGAGGGTTGGGGTTTAGAATTATTCTAGACAACCCGCATGGATGATCGCGGGGATGATCGCGCCCTCACAGTCGAGGTGAGGGTCCCACCCGAATAAAATAATCCCGACCCCCCATGTGTGTGTGTGTGCGGTCACCGGCGTGGTCATCCTCGCTGTTCCTGTAGCACGACTCTGGGGTTTATGGGTGTTGGAAGAGGGAATTCAAAAATTCTCATAATCTAGTTTAAACTTCAATTTTAATTAAAGGGATTATTTTTAATTAAATTTTTTGCAATATATATTTTTTTGTTCTCAACTATAATTGAGAAAAAAAATGCAAGGGGTCATAATTCAGTACGAGAAAAAAAAATGAAATGGATAAAAAAAATGGTACGTGGAAAAAAGAGGCACACGCGGAGGAGAAGGAACACAAGAAAGCTTCGAATAGTTAGGAGTATGGGTTTGGATGACAAAAAAAATTCGTCACTCGAATAAGCCATGATATCCTATTTAATTGGGTCCACACAACGGGGAGGGATTTTCAACCTCGTTGCCAAATTTGTCTCGTTGGTATGTATATTCTAGTGAAATTCAAATTGTTTTGCTACTCCTTTTTTTCTTTTTTGAAATGCAATTCATTCATCATCAAAGTGGGAAGATACAGATACAATGAGAAAATTACCTCAACACAATTGCCTCCTCAGAGAGTTTAAGGGCTTCCTATGCAAAAGCATAATCTACCAAAATAGCTATCCTAAGCACAAAAATAACAGACAAAGAGAGGAAACACTTCAAATATAAAGAGATAAAAATGAGTGGTGAGCCCATACTTGACACCCATTCTCTTTCTCATTTTCATTCTTTTCTTTCATTTCAACCACAAAATCTTCAAATAAAATAATATTACACACAAATCTAAAACTTTTCATCACTTTTTCACCACACATTTTCCCGTCAATCACTATTACAAAATTTTTCAACCCATTAAAATGGGTGTCAAACACTCCCTGTGTATAATACTTATAAATCCCTCGAAATGTGTAGATGAAGATTTGTTGAATGTTTATAAATACGAGCTAAACATAAGCTAAGTCCTTGTTTATTGTAGCTTAGAAGTTGACAAAAATTTAAGCGAAAGTCAATGATTAACTTCAGCTACACATTTTTTGAGATTCATAATTCTTTTCAACTTTTTTATCACACATTTTGCCAATATGTATTAAAATTTAATTTTTAACTACACCAAGCCTATTTTGACAACCATTATTTCAAAAATCTTTAGCCCTTATTTGACAATCACTATTTGAAAACTATTTTTTTTTATTTTCGATCACTTGTTTACACAATAAAATATTTTGCACAATAATCGAAAATCTTTCCATATTTTTTAATAACAAATTCTCTTAAAAATCACTATTTAAAACATTGTTTTTTTTCAAATAGTAATTGTCAAACAAGAGCTTAATTATCATGCTCATTTTGAACTATGCATTTATATAATAAAATATTTTATATGTAAATCGAAAATTTTTCTCTATTTTTTAATCATTCTCTAAAAAATAACTATTCAAAACTTTATTTTCTCAGAATAATAATCATTAAACGAGGCTAAAGAGGACGAGATAACATGGGACCAATTTTGTCATTAAATGAATTGTATTATTTAAAATAAAATCTCCAAGGTCCCATTAATATCTCCAAAATCCTAGAGAAGAGAGACCATGTCACATCCAACTCTAGACTTTTCTTTCACGCCACCTCGTTTGAATGAGAAAATTGGTCACAAGACTATGTCACAACCTCACTGTCCTACACATTTTTTTTTTCTTTTTCACATTCGTTGTATCTTTCGTACTTTTATCACGTTTTATTTATCCGCTTATTCGAGTTATCTCCCCTTGTATATATATATATATATATATATGACCAGTCCTTATTTTTATTTTTCCATCTGGTCTATCAACTTTCTGCTGTGGACCTATGGTGTTTTTACTTTTTAAGGAAAGTTGCAGGGGGTTTCAAACTTTTCAGTTCGTTGCATTCTAAGCCTAAAACTTTTATTTTTATATTCACAGTCCCATATCTTTCACTTCAACTGTAACCGGAGGATAATGGACATAATCCGTCCGTGAATCTGTTAGTCCACCCAAAAATTAAAAGTTCGACTCAACTTGACAAAATAAGTGAAGGGTAAAATGGTCAAATTAGGGTCCACATAATCTAACTAATGATTTGACCATTTTATCCTTCACTTATTTTGTCAAGTTGAGTCGAACTTTTAATTTTTGGGTTGGATAACGGATTTATGGACGAATTATGTCCATTATCCTCCGGCTACAAACGAAGTAAAATGTTTTGGACCGTGGGTGTGAAAATAAGAGGTTTGGGTTTAGTTTGCAATAAATTGAAAAATTTGAAATCCTGCTGCAATTTTCCCATTTTTTAAATTTATTTTTGGAACAATACCACGTTGTTTTGACTTCAACGCAAGAAAAGTAAAAGAGTAAGAAATAAAATATTATTTTTAAAATAATCCAAATAAATTTAATGTGTAACAAGAGTTTAATGTTTGTTTGGGATAGATTTTCAAGTAAATTTTTTTTTTTTTGAAAAATATATGGTTGAAAATAATTTTAGATTTTTTTAATAAATATCTCCCAAACAGTGCCTTAATTTGGCCTAAAATTCAAGAGAAAATTGCAGTGAAGCCTCTAACTTTGCGAACCTTTATTTTGTAGCACAACACCCCTAGCTTTAAGCAATATTTATTTGCAAGTCCTTCTGGATGTAAATCGTCTATATGGCCATTAATACGGGAAGAAAATTACGGTAAATCCAATTTATAATACTATTTAATACAATTCTATTTTACCATCTATCTTGCCAAAATAAAAAATAAAAAAATTCGACATTAAAAACCGACATCGTTGTAATACATTGCATTCTTTCATTGTATTGTGATAATCATTTCAAGATAATTGAAAATTGAGAATGTTTGGCTGAAGTGAAAAATAAGTGAAATTTAATTTTTAAGTAATTATTTCTTTTTTCAAACGTATTTAAATAGATTATTTTTTTACTTAAATAAATAAACTTACCGTTTTAAAATTTATTTTAATAGTGTGGAAAACTCTATTTTAATTCACACGTTTGGGACCTCGGCTGGAATTTTTCCTTTTCCTTTGACTAACCAATTATAAAATTCCGAAAATGTGAAATTAAAAATAAATAAAAAAGTCCACCTAAAACCACCCTACTGGAAGCTCAGTGAACTTCACTCACACCCGAACACTCCTCGTATTCCCACTAAACGTACGTTCCAAGAAATTTCTTACCCGCAACCGCGATTTTACATATTTTCTCCTTTGACCAAAACCTGAATTTGCAGCCTCCCTCTCCCCATTCCAACTACGTTTTTCCTATTATACTATAACCACATCTCAAAATCCTCCTCTCCTCTTACAAAAAAACCAGATAATTTTATCGTACTTTTTTGTATTTATTTTATTGAAAAAGATGACGGTGGTGCCTGAATCTGGTTCCGGGTGTTTTGGAGACGGGGTTTTTCCTCCGGGATTCAGATTCCACCCAACGGATGAAGAGCTCGTGCTGTACTATTTGAAGAGGAAGATCTGCAGGAGACGGCATCTTATTGATGCCATCGCAGAAACCGATGTTTACAAGTGGGACCCAGAAGATTTGCCTGGTACATTTTCATCAACCATTGTTTTTTTTTCATGCTGATTTTAGTTACTTAAAGTGATGATTATATGGTTTTGGTTTGTTTCTTACATGGGTATGTGATTGTTGACTTTGTTTTATAATCTAGGTTGGTCTATTTTTGGTTTGATTCCTTCTTTCTGATCACGATCATATTCAATGGGTTTTTGTAGACGGAATTCGTACGTTTCAGCTTGGTTTGTGTATAGAAGATCAATTAGATTCATAATTTGTGTTGATTAAATTCGAAGATGATTAATTTTGGCTTGTGTTTTAACTGATTATTGGTATATTTCAATTTTAGGAATTATGTTTAGTTTAATTACAAGATTTATTCAATGTGTCTCGTGATTAGATTTGAAAAATAATTATTATCTCGATTTAATTTGGCTTATTTTTAAGAAATGCTTTTTCTTCTCATGAAATCAATTAGGATTGTGGATTTACAAATATCAAGAGGTAAACATTGAGGGCAACTAGTGTTGAGGAGAAATGAGGAAAAGAAATCAACTTTGGACATAGTATTGAAAAAAGCCACTTATTCTCATAATTACGAATTTTCACTTGTGCTGGTGCATAGACTAAAAAAAAGAAAAAGAAAAATCGCACGGAATTCAATATCAGCTCACCGCTGATAGACCCTTTTTATTGTTTTACTTTAAAAGTTTTCATTTTGGTAATCTTTAGTTTCTTTATCGAAGCACACACTCAATTAACTGCGTTCTAGATTCTTTACATTTGATTTTTTTTTTGCTAAATATCGATTTTGTTCTGAAGTTTGATGTATTTGAGCGTTGAATGTGAAAAACTAACATGACAATTGTTTGACTGATTCACATTTCCTCGGATCTCGACTTCTTCATTGTTATTTATATGAATTCTACGATTCGTCTGGTTGAAATTTTTTTCTTGCACTTTTAATTGACCAAGTTTTCACATATCTGAAATGCAGGGATATCTAAGTTGAAAACTGGGGACAGGCAATGGTTCTTCTTTAGCCCCAGAGACAGGAAGTATCCAAATGGAGCAAGGTCCAATCGAGCAACAAGGCATGGATATTGGAAGGCAACTGGGAAGGATCGTATCATCAAATGTGGTTCACGTGCTGTTGGGTTAAAGAAGACTCTAGTGTTCTATAAAGGTCGTGCCCCTAGTAAAGAACGTACAGACTGGGTGATGCATGAGTACACCCTGGACGAGGAAGAGCTGAAAAGATGCCAAACTGCCCAGGATTATTATGCACTGTACAAGGCATTCAAGAAGAGTGGGCCGGGTCCCAAAAATGGTGAGCAATATGGTGCGCCCTTTAGGGAGGAGGACTGGGCTGATGACGAGCTAGATGCTAACAGAGTTGTTGATCAGGAGAACCCTGTAAATCAGACAATTGAAATCTTGCCTGTAAATAAGACTCGGGATAATTGTCAAGTGCCATCTCCACCAAATGACCTGGAGGAGTTCATGAAACAAATAGCAGAAGAGCCCATATTTGTTCAGCCACTTGGTGTTGATATTGACTATTCGCTGGGCCAGTTTGTGGGTGAGGAGGGAACTCAAAGTACCGTACTTGAGGATTCTGTAGGGCATGCAAGTTTACCTGCAAGAAGTACAGTGCTCCAACCGTGCAGTGAACAACATAATAATGTGCTATCCAGTTTAGACCTGGCACAGTCAGGAACAACACAGTTACAGTTTTACGAGGTTCCTGAGGTCACTTCTGCTCCAAATGGTTGCAACGGACAGCCTTCAGTGACTGAAGAGGATTTCCCAGAAGATTTTCTTGAAATGAATGACCTTATTGGTCCAGAACCACTTGATAATCCTCTGGACGATTTGGATAATCTGCAGTTTGAAGGGCTTGATGGCCTGAGTGAACTTGATCTCTACCAAGATGCACCCATGTTCCTTCATGAGATGGTGCCTGCTGAATCTGGGCAGATTTCTCAACCATATTGGAACAATTTTGATAACGGAGTTATGAATCCTATCTCAAGTTCTTCTCTGAACAATCTTGAGAATTGTGCTGCGAATTACCAGCTGCAGCCACATTTAAATGATGCAAATGATATCAGTTCTCAGCTATGGACGGAAGAGCAAATATCCAGTCTTTTATCTGATAATACAGATGCAAATGGGAGGTTGATGCCTTCACCAGCTTCAGGTACTAATATAATTGAAAATTCAAGTGACTCTTTTTCAAGCAGCCACGAATGTATCCATGATCTCCCTATAATTGTTCATGACCTGTGCGACGTTTATTCTCTTCTTTGACAAACCTCAAAGAGCTCTTGGTCTGATGGATGGCAAAATCTCTCGTGCCCAAGTGGGAAATGGGGGAGTTTTAGCCTGCTTCAAGAGCTTTTCTTCGAATGTAGTAGTCATAGACTGTTTTTTAATGTTAGTTTTGGTTTGTTTAGGTATGGTACATCAATATCAATATCAAAATCAAAATCAAAGTTATCCGGTCAATCATTCTACTGGAGCTAATCAAAATCCAATTGGCGAGCCGGATAATGTTACACACTCATGGTTCTCCTCTGCTGTTTGGGATTTTGTAGAGTCTATACCTACAACTCCTGCCTCGGCTTCAGAAAGTGCTTTGGTAAATAGAGCTTTTGAGCGTATGTCTAGCTTCGGTAGATTAAGAATAAATGCCAGAAACATGAATCTTGCTGCAGGTAATACCTCTGCAACTTCAAGATCTTCAAGCAAATTTAGGAGTGGTTTTTTATGTTTATCTTTACTTGGAGTATTGTGTGCTATCTTGTGGTTGCTGATTGGAACTTATGTAACTGTTACAAATTGAAACTTATCTTCAAGAATATGTAAATGGGAAGTTTTGCTTTGGTGCGTTACCTTAATTGATGGAAAATTAAACGCATTTCTCAAATATTCTTGCAAATTTAGGGGGGGAGGAGGAAATTGAAGCACCTTATCGAATTGTTTATTAAGAGGTTTGCATTGCACATTCCATTTCATTTTATGGTGATTTCTTAGAGGTCCAGGTCCTATGTTTACTTGGTTTAACTAATTCCAGTCCTTTTTATTCAGTATTTCGTGTTTTCATCTTTTGTTGTACAATAGCGGGTGTAAAGCCACCAATTTATTAAACTGGGTCGGTTGTCTCAAACTTTAAGAAGGAATGCAAGAACGATTTCCCCCTTTCAGAGGAGAGATTTCAAAAGGGAAGTCGTTCCTCCAATTCTGTGTACATGTATATAAAGTTTCGACTATGAAAATAGTGTAGGTTGCGTTCGAGGATTTGGATTTTTGTGATAGCAGTGGAGGTCTGAAAACTAGGCTTTTTGGAGATTCTAATTCGAATAAATTGCTAGTGTACAATATGGTGTAGCTATTCATTTCATTAAACCTTATTAGCTGAGTTCGGTAAACTTTCGTGCCAGTAAACAGCACAGTGCCATTATTTTTAGTGATAGTCTATCCAATTTGTTTGAAGTTTGAATAAATAGTTCAACGAAGTAACAGAGTTGTATTTTCACATATGCAACATGGCACTTTGCTCCAATGACAACTCCTGTACATATCCAGTTGAATATACTTCAACCAAATTCTTGCATCCATGACCTATGAAAAGTTAACGCGTCAAAATGTTTTGGACAGTTTAGACTCTGGTAGTTCGAGAGGTAAAGAGTATGTTGCAAGTGAGTAACACTTCGTTTTGTATACTGTTGTCTATGACCAAGTTATGTCGGGTTTGGCTGTAGAGGCCAGAGCTCTCACATGTGGACCCATGCATGCTTTTTATATTGAAAGGAGAGAAAGGAAAGCTTAAACTGGAGAGGTAGGTTGAACTGTGCTCATGATGATGCTAACTCCTAGTAAAGGAGTAAGATCATACACAACCTTCTGAACGTTCTCATTGTTTGAAATAAGGCAGGGCAGTGGCTTCTACCAACCATTAGAATAAGTGGAAGAATAATCCCAAAAAAAAGTGCAACAACAATTGACAGTACCACTACTGAAAATTGTGCATTTCTTGATGACCAGCCCCAATTTCATTTGATAACCTTACACTTCAAAATAAGCAGATTATGCACAAATTAGTCAATTTAGGGTGCGTCCGGTAGATATTAAAATTGGATTAAAATTGAAAAACTAGTCGTTATTGTTGACTTTTATTAGACAAGTGAGACATAAAAATGGCTATATTTTCAATTTTAATTGGATTTTAAGCTTAGCCAAACATGCTCTTAATCTTTTTTGGTACTTGATTGTTAATGTGCAAAAACCAGAGCGAAATTAACAAACCTTATGGCTGCATTGATTCCAATTGCTAGCATAACTGCCAACCCTAACATGTTTATGCTTCATTAATAGTAAGATTAAAGAATGTGAAAATGCGGTATTTTGTACATCGTATTGGTCAGTGAAATTGACGAGATTGCTCATCGCATTGGGAAAAAAAAAAAAAACATATATATATACAGAAATGATC